GTGAAGCCCGAACGGCTGCGCGGTGGTTTCATGGCCTTTGTGGGCAGACGTTAACAGCTACAAATTTTGAAAGCAAACGTTTGGGAACGTGTTCTTGTTTTTGTGTTTCTGTCAGTTCCCCGGTGCGGGGTTGTGTGTTTCCTTTGCAGCAGCTGATGGCTGCACTGACACGTTCCTGTCCCCGAATTGCGCTGGGGCTCCAGCACCGCTCCGGGAGAGTCCTGCCCTCGGGGCCTGGCAGGGGGGAGGAGCAAGCCTGGCTTTTTCCAGGAGCTTGCTTGAGTATTTTTTTTTTCTAGCTTATTTTTATAAATAGCAGCCCCAGAACAATCTGTTCCTTTTATTTATTTGTGTATTAAGTGGAGTGAATTTTAGTCCTGGCAGAAGATGCTGCATTGATGGCTCTAATAACTAAGAGCTCCCGTCCATCCCAGCCCCAGCAAGGATGCGCCCCTTGGCTGCAGACTACAGCTCTCAGAGGGCTTTGGGGTGGTGGGCTGTGCCCGTGCCCTGCGAGGTGGCGAGGGAGGTGGGCAGAAGGGGCTGCGCTGGCCCAGAGCGCTACAGACCCCCGGGCAGCGCAGGGTACGTCCCTGTCCCCCGCATTAGCGCCGGCCAGGTTATTTGTGTGTTCCCACGTGCAGTGACCGTGGCTGTGGGGACCCCCCACCTCTGTCCCCTGTGTTGGTGACCCCTCAGCCTGTGTGCAATGTCGGACTAAAGCCGTAGTCCCCTCCCCAGGTTGTGCATCAGCTTCTTCCCACAGCTGGTTTCTGGCATCTCTAAGCTGTTAAGACGCTCAGGCTTCCGCTAAATGCTCGGTAAAACCAGTGCAATGGCTTTGTGGCTCACACGGGAGCATTCAGAGCTGGGAGCCTCTTGGCTCCAGATGTGTTAGGACACAACAGGCCCTACTCCTGCCCTGTCTGAGGGCCACCTAGAAGTCTCCCAAACTCCAGCTTCCTGCTCAAACCATTACCCCAGGTGGTCTCCCACAGAGGGGCACAGGTTCTGCATCCCCATCTCCCCATCCCTCTGTTGCACCACCATCCCCTGCACCAGCGTGCTTTGGTTGATGCGTTTCTGCTCACCGTTGATTTGGTTCCCTTGAAGATAGAGGTTCTCAAGGTTGGTGTTGACCCGGGGGATCTTCTGGAGCCTGTTGTAAGAGAGGTCCAGCTCGAGGATGCTGCTGCTGTTGAAAGTGTTGGTAGAGAGACCTTGATTTGTCAGGCTGTTGTGGGACATCCGTACATAGAGCAGCTTGGGAGAGACCTTGAAATAGTCATCAGGGATGGTGTTGATGTAGTTGTACTCTAGGTAGAGCTGTTCCAAAGCCATTGGGAGCCCATCAGGGACTTTCCTGAGGTGGTTGTAGCTCAGATCAGCCAGGATTAAGGACTTGAGCCCTTTGAGGGATGCTCCCATCTCAAAAATGTAATTGTGGCTGAGGTACAGGGCTGTGAGGTTCTCCAGACCCTCTAGAGCATTGGAGGGGACCTTGGAGATCTGATTGTAAGACAAGTGGAGCTCTCTCAGGGACAGGGGCAAGGGGCTGGGCATCTTGGTTAGGTTGTTGTTGTTCATGTACAATCTCTCCAGGTTTTTGAGCTTGGCAAAGACCCTCTTGCCCATCTTCTCACTGGTGATCTGGTTGTTGTGCAGTGCGAGCCATTCCAGCTCTGTGGCGTTGTCAAAAGCCCCTTCTTGGATGGCGGTGATCTGGTTGTTCTGGAAGTACACGTATTTCATCCGGGAAGGCACGAAGGGCAGGTACCTCAGGTTTCGGGTGTCACAGTACATGGCTGACGAGAAGTTAGGGGGGCAATCGCACTCCTGGGGACATTGCCAGGAAGGGGCTTGCTGAGGTTCAGGGCCAGGCTCTGCCTCCATGTCTGGAGCTGGGAGGTAAGAATACACGTACGGGGTGTTCTCATCCTCGTAGTAGGGCATGTAGTTATAGGAGGACATACGGGACTGCCGCATGTAGTACTGTAACCAAGCCATGTCTTCTTCTTCATTGTACTGGCCCAGGGAGGCTCCACAGAGCCCAGCGATGATCAGGATGGTGGCCCAACGCATGCTGCTGATGCTGGAAGGACCTGGGTGGGGGAGAAACGGGGAGGAAAATAGCGGTGTCAGGTCTGATGTAAGGACTTGGAGGCAGGCGAGCTGCACCGTGTGGCCTGGGAAGCCAGCGGGGTTGGATGTGGTTGCAGCCCCACGTGGGGCTGGTGGCATTTGGCAGCAGAGCTGGAGGATCAGGGGACATGAGTGAATCCTAGCCCCAAAAATGAAGCTGCAGACACGTCCCCTGTTTGCAGTTACCTGATCTTTCGCCTTTTCACCTCAGGCCTGCTAGAAAACTCCGTCCCAGTGGATATTTGCTTGCAAAATCTTTACTTATGAGTATTTCTGCTACAACTGAGTAGAGGATGGAGATATGGGGCACGTGGTCCGAGTTTGTGTGAGGTCACACAGCTCTGCTCCCAGGTGCCCGGGACTCACCTGCGCTGGCTCTGCATGGGAGGGAGGAGAAAGGACTCGGCCACTCTCTGGCCAAGTGGAGGAGAGCGATAGCTGCGAGAACAGGTTGACGGAGCTCAAGGCGTGTGTCGACGGAGCTATATTTATGCCACTCTCGCTGGCGACATGATTTGCTGTGGGTTTCATCCAGCAAACCCTTCCCCCACAAGAATGCAGGATGCTCGTGCTGCTCGGGACTGATGTAAATCCTGGTAAACAAGTTCTGGCTTATTTTTGAAATGAAGCCACTTTCAAGCTTAGATTTCCCGAGCTCAGCCCTGACACA